AAATTAACTAATTAAAATTTAAATATTTAATAACACAAATAAATTAATTAATTTAACATAAGTTACTAGTTAAACATTTAAACTATCTATAAATAAAATTAAATTTTATATAAAGATTTATGTAAAATTAATTATAAATACTTAATGTACAGATTAAAAAATCCTTTATTCTTGTACAACCGAAAGAAATTGTATGCTACTTACGCAACGCTGAAAAGATGGACATTAATTGAGTATTATTCTTATATTTACAATAAAAAAATTCAAAAGGTTAAGCAGTCGAAATTGAAATTTGGGCCTACAATCTACTTTCTTGACTATATTGGAGGAAATTTGAGAATCGGAACTACTGATTTTCATCGTATTGACTAGACTCCAGCCTGAGCAGTAAGTAGCAGCAAATGACTGAGCAGTGGGCAGCGGCGGCAGTGGGCAGTGAGTGATGAGCAGCAGCAGTGTCTGGTGACGATGAGTGATGAGCAGCGGCAGTCTGATCTACTCTCCCCCTCCCCTGCGGCGAACCCTAAGCAAAGAGTGATGAAGATTGAAGACTAAAGAAGATCAGACTCATCAGAGATTCAGAATTTCAGGTCAATTTTGTCCCGATTTTCGGAAGCACAATCTTCAATTGTTAATTTGTTATTGGGTTGAGGGTTGTGGGCTTTAAAATGAGAAATGGGTTTGATTTAAGGGTTGCCTGGTCAAAGACCATTAAAACCAGATGGAAGCCCAACAAGAAATGGTCCAGTTGCTTAACAGGGGTAAAATCGAGATTTTATCCAATTTTACAGTAAAATCGTGATTTTATGATTCACTCTCTGATTTCATAAAATTTCAATTTTGACTTAGATTTTACTCAAAATGCTTGTATGAAATTGTAAAATTATACTTTAAATTACGTTTTGACAACACTGAATATAATCTGATATAATCGTATGATTTGATGATTTAAATTATGATTTTGACAACAATGGATATGATGTGGCATTAACTGATGGTGTGGCACTTATTGGCGGAACCAGAGGGATGAAACCAAACAATAATCCTAAAATTTTGGCTAAATTCACACTTCAATTCTTTCCATCGCAGCTGATTTCTTGAAGTTTTGAATCGATCGGCTCTGGTTCCAGGCAGGTAAAGCTTCCTTGCTAGCTGAATTTGTTGTTTTCAATTTTTGCAATTCAATGCACTTTACCTATTCTACTCGTTTCTTGTAAATCCGATTGGAGGTGATTTTCTGAAGCTTAGAATTGATTTTTCCTGTTTTTGTGTTCGATTCCAATGATTCAATTGATCTAGAATTTGTCCTGTATGGTTTTGAAACTCATTACTAGAATTTTTTGCATTTTGTAGAATTCACAACTTAAATTTTAATCATAAGAACATATAGAATCTTGCAACTGCTTTCGATTTCCATGGTTCCATGCGTTTTTACTTCTTTGTGTTGTGATTTTAAAACTTGTCCCATTTTGTAGAATCCATAACTTAAATTCACATAGAAGCGTCTAATTGTGGTAGTTATTAATTTCATTGTAGGGTTAAAAGGTTGCAGTAGAGTGGTCATGGATCGGCTCAGTGCTTCTGCACGTTCTATGATAGTTTCTGATCTTGATCATACAATGGTTGGTTTCATAATTTCTTGCTTCACTCCGGAGTGATGTCGTGCTCGTATTGCTATTAGTTACCTTAATTGGACATGGTGCTCTTTCTGCAGGGTGATCATCATGATGTTGAGAATGTATCCCTACTCTGCTGCTCCATATATCATGCCCAGGTGGACATAAAAGGTCCCTGCTAGTTTAGAGTGTTGGCTGATGGATTAACTTGAGTATAGGTATAGATAGAAGTATATAGCCAGCTTTTATTGGGAAAATTAGGAAAGCAAATTTATCCTAAAATAATAAACTGATAAGTGAAGGAAACTTTTAGCTTAAATGCTTGACCAAAATGTACTTTATGTAGCTGTACCTAGAACCAGTGCTAAGACTAAGTTACATTTTAGATCTACTTTGACTGGAACCTATTGACATTTTGATACTAAGTTACATTTTTTATCTACTTTGACTGGAACCTATTAACATTTTGCATCAACTTTTATTGATTTTCTTTATCTAATGAATCTACTAAGAAATGCTGTTTCCACTTTTCATTTCTTGTTGGAATTCTTTATGATCCATGTTCAGAAAGAACCAACATTTTAATTCTTCTTTCTTCAGGATCTATCTACTGTCACTGTCGGCTGTCCATCCATCTGGTGTTGAGAAAACCCTACATGAACGCATACATGAATTGAAAGGGTGGTATGGAGACAAGCAGGGAAAAAGGTTTCAGGTTTGGGTGGATGGTGTATTATCTACACAGATTAGTTCAAGCACATGGCTGGTCAGTTTCGATAAGTGGGAGCAGTGTGGTGAGATTTCTTTATATGTTCTTCTATATCTGCTCAATCTTTGTGTCTTTTCAATTTAAACTAGATGTCATATCTGTGCTAATTTATTTACCTTTCTTGCATTCATCTCTTTGTGGATATGGTAGTAAATGTCTCTCCAACTTGGAAGACCAGTAATAGGAATTTGCATGTGAACATAATTGCCTTTGAGGCCTTGATTTCCCTTTTGGTATATTTACATAGTGTGCAATTTATGGTGTAAACACATAGAGACCAATCCATGGGTGATTCTTAATCTGATAAATGCTGCTTTAGATCGAAAGATTGTTTAAACCTCGTCAAAGACTTGCATTGCATAGCATTTCCAGAATGCCAATACTACAGTCCCAAGGGTTAACTTGTCATCCAAATGCTT